GGGAAGCTCAGCGAAATGGGGATCGTGGAGGGATTCAGGACATGTCCCCCTTTGAGTGGGGGATTCAGACCACGGACTGGGGGGGAACACCATTGTTGATTTTCTCCGGGGTCGGCATTAACAGCTCCGGGAATTGACAGGCTTCTGGCGGAATCAGCGAGAAGCCCGCCCAAAGAGAAACCAACATGCGAACTACGAAGTAAAGCCAAACCTGCATATTTGCCAGGACTTCAGCAAGGGCCCGAGGCAGCAAAATGCCCCCTTGTTTAAAGGGAATCCTGATGGTCTCAATGAGTCTCAAGTGACTTTACTTGGGAACACATGAGCGCGGACAGAACTTCCAGGCTATCGCTTTTGGCTGGATCCCTGTTACTTTACTGGGGTATGCAATATTGTCGAGCATTCATGAAACGAGTCCTTTTGGATCGTTTCTTGGTTGCTACAGGATTCGACTTTGACAAATAGACTCGCACCCCCTGGTGCTATTTTTTGGGCATGTTGAAATTTCAGCACCACCGCACGGACCTCAGTTGCTCGTTCGACCTTCAACTTTGTGTCACATTCTAGAAGATGACAAAAGTCCCCGGAGGGTTCACTTGGACCAACCCCCATGTACTCTTTTGGCAGAGAGGGGCCAATTGAACTTTATTCTTGGAGTCATTTCAGTGGCACGAAAAAAACAACCTGGTTACCTTTGTTTGACCAAACTCAATTGGAAGGGAATCAACCTAACCTTTCTGCTAGGTTTGGCAGAAGACGAACCCCAGTTGATCCAGTTAGGTCTGTAGGCAAGCAGAGAAAATTCTTGTTAAAAAGCAAACATTGGTTACATAATCCAGGTAAATCTAGGGGCTTGCCCAGACCTCTGACTTGTTGGGTGAAAGCTTCTGGAACCTGTCGCAAGTAAGGATCCCCTACTCGGTTTGGAAGGAATTGCTAGTGTTCGGTAATCACACTTCTATCGGCTCACCAGTTGGAGGTTCTGTTTCTTTCCATGGGTTCTATTGGATCTTTCACCTTTAGCTTTTGGCTGGAAACCTGTGTTTTCCCACCCCACAAGTTAATTTTGCTTGCGCAGGGGGAATTGCCTCCAAGTCGCGATGCAATCACACCATCCCACTTTTTGCTGGCGCGATAGCCTCCGAGTTTCTAGCTCCTTTGGACTTGACCCAAGGTTTCTTTGGATCGTTGACCTTTAGCTTGGGGAAATGATGGGAAATGCTAGCATGGTCCCCCTCATCCACAACAAGTTAGTGCCCATCAATCCCAAGCCTTCTTTTGCCGCGCAAAACTTGCACAAAGGCCAGAGAAGCAAGCACAACAAGTTACCCTCTCTCCCACCAACATGGCACCTCACTGGTCTTCCAGGACCCTTCCAACAGGTTCCATGTTCGAGGCGGGGGAAGCTTTGTGCGGCACGTTGCGCCGATGGGGACCACAGGTGCTGGAAAGACCAGGCTCACCTTTCCGGATCTGAAAGTCTGAAAGACCAAGCCAGCCTAAACAAGAGGACCCTTTTGGACATGACCTACCCCCTTCGGCCCGCCGCTCCGCCGCCCCGTGTCCGGCCTAAGGTACAACTCCCGCCTTCTGAAGGCCTATGCCTCCTTCGACGAGCGAGTCCCCAAGCTGGGCCGACTGGTGAAATTCTGGGCCAAGAGCCGAAATGTGAACGAAGCATTGGAGGCAGGGCTTGCGGAAAGAGTCCTTTGGACATAAACGTTGCCCCATTTTGCGTTTTTTTGCGCTTTTTTGCCTCATTTTGGTTGCACCCTTTTGGTCCTTTTGGTTGCATTAGCGCACTTTTTGGTGCCCCTTGTTGGTCTGCTGTGGTTTGACCATTTTCCAGTGTTGCCATGTTGGGTGTCCTTTGTTTTTGTTTTGAGTTGAGGTTTCCCAAACCAACTTTGAAGTGTGTAGCAGAAAGTGCACGTTTGCAGGTCTGAGTTTGGCAGGTTGCTTCAAAGGAAACCAGACTTTCAGCGATGCCCGGTTTTTTAGTGTTGTTTATTCTTTGGAGCGTTTTTTTCTCAAGAAAACCTGCCCTGAAAAACAACAGGGCCACTATTGTTCAGGAAGGTGTTGAACAATCGACCCGAGCAACCTCCAAACCACGAAGGCCGTTGGTCTTAGTTGGCCTTTGTTTACCTCAACAAGGCTTGATTTACCCCCATTCAAAATTTCTTCGGGGGGGGGCGGTGCAAGTTTGTTTTGCTGAGCAAAAGTAGTTTCAATGATGCTCACATGTTCCCCGAGACCTCACGGGCTGAGTTGAAAACCCGGGGGAAAGGACGACTTCCCTTGCAGTTTTGCAACTCTGTAGGTTCAAACAAAAAGTTGCCACGTTTGCAGATGGAAAATGGAGGGTACTGAAGCGCTTCTTCCATTTGACACGAAGATGTGTTTTCTTATCCTTGTTGGTTTTTAAGGGGAATCTATGACTGGACGTATCCTTATGTTTGTCCAAAAAAAGATGTTGGTCCAGGGGACGAAAAAAGAAACACATGGACAGATCCCATTCAAAGAGGTCACAGCAACCCCAGGGGACGCTGTCGTCCTACTCCCACTGCCTGCTTCTGATCGCCTACCTGCAGAGGGCCACTGGATCTTGAAGAAAAAACAGCGGAGTCCGATGTAAGGTGCATGTGTGTTTGTTGGTCCGTTTCTCGCTTCTCGAGTTCCTGGACTTGAGTCAAGACTTGTTGGGAAGACCATTTTGGTGGTTAACAGTTCAGACTTGTTATGGCCAATCCACTGAACAAGTATGCTTTTGTTGGTAGTCACAGGTTTGTTGAGGAATGGCCCTATCGCACAATGATAAGCGAGGTGGCACATTTGTTGTGTTTGGTGGGCATGTTTACCTTGGAGGGGGGGGTAATTACCAGACCTTGTGTTGGTTGGGTGGCCATTTGTGAGTGATTTTATGCGAATGGTTGATGTCTAATGGATCAGGAGAATTCAAGGAATATGGTTGTCAATCTTATTGCAAGGAGTTTGTTTAAGGAGGGAGGGGGCATTTGTTCAATGCTACAATTCTACACAAATCGAATTGTTTGCCACCAGGTTGCTGCTTTTGATTCTATCCGGCAATTCCAGACAAAAGATAGGGCAGTGCTTTTCTGAACAGCGATAGATTGCAAAATCATCAAGATGTCAGAACCAGTAGACCCCTTACGGCAGATACCAACAAATGTTGAATGTTGAATGTTGTTAAGCCCTTCAACGTTTTACAGCAACAGGTTTGCCACTTACCACCGGAAAGCTGATTTCCAACATGTACCCTGGGCAAAAGGCGGTTACTTGGAGCATAGTATTTCAACCACTTTTTTGGGTGACCGGGTCAGCTCGTGTCAGCTCAGGAGCACATTGTCCCGGTGCTTCAAAGGAACACCGAGGGAAGGGTGGAGATGTTCGATGATATCCACGACGTCTACTTCCTGGACCCTAGGAATTTCGGATGAAATTCAATCACCTTTAAGTTGCGACCATCGGACTTCGATAACTTATTACATAAGAACACGGAAGCCAAAAAACATTTTTCTTCGAGAAACATCCGTTTGGGAGACCTGCTTTTCGTAAGTCGGAGATACCCCATGCAATCCACATGCGAGTAGTGTTCCAAGTCAAGCACCCCTTTAGTACGCCCATAGTTTTGAGGCTGAACAAAGTCCGCTTTGCATTTGATGAAATAGCAACCACTATTTAAGTCGGGCTTCATCCATCCCAACTGAAGCATGTTGTCCATCCACCGGCTTTCTTTGACTCCAAGCCGTTTCTTTTTCGGCGTACGCATCATGGCAAAAAAAACAGCTTTCCCATCCAAAGCTCGAGCCGTTCTGCTCGCTTCTGCCGTGCCCGGCAGGCGGGACCTGCACGCGGAGAGCCCGCAGTGGAAGGAGTGGATGGCGAAGCGGCCCGAGGCCACGCTGGCGGGCTTGCTGGTGGGCTTCTTCCGGTTCCTGGCCTACCAGCTGCCGGCGCACTCCCAGGCAACCGACCAAAACCGAGAAAAGAGAGAGAGAGAGAGGGACAGGGATGCCAAGAGGGCCAAGGAAAAAGTAAAAAACTGAAAACAACAACAACGACAAAAGAGAAAATGGGAGACAGGGATTGCCAGGGCCAACAAAAGGTAAGTTGCTCTACTGTTCTACTGCATTCTTTTGTCCGGGTTATGGTGCGGCCTATATAAGCCTTCGCAACAATCTTGCTAGACGCGACAGTCAATGGCTTTTTCGGCGCTGCTCATTCGGGGGTACCCCCCATGGCGGGCACCAGGATGTCCAATTGTGCTACGCCTTCTGGTGGGGGGGTATTGTTCTTTAGTCTCAAACAAAAAGAAGATGCCGTTCCTTCGGCTTCCCCTCGAACAGCACAAAGAAGGGTGTCAACCACCGGCCCGTCCCAGCTTCAGAAAGCCTCGTGCAACCCATTTGCTTGGCTCTGCGAATGGCACAAAACCCGCACCAGGACCAGTAGGTGGTTTGATCCAGTATCCATAGGGTCCAGCCATTATGTTTCTGGACCCTTCCATGTGCAATCATTCTTCAGTAATTGGAGCCCTCGATGAATAAACCGGTGAATTGTTGGTTCCCGAAAATTCCTTATGCATTGCTGTTCTTGATTTTCACTTGGAGCAAACTGTCAACGTTTTGCAGGTCAGATGCGGAGGAGATGGGACACGACACCCATAGGATTCGGGATTCTATATCCCACCCCAGACGTTTCAGGGGGCGAATAGAGGGGATTCATTCAGTCAAGCCATGAAGTTATAAACAATTCCCTTGCCATACTGTGGATGAACGAAGTCCTGCACCCAAGAAACCCTGGAATGATGATTCCCTGTAAATACCAACCAACTATGGTTTTTCATGGTTTCCAAGTGGTGCAGGATTTCGTCCAGCCACAGGGAGCCTTTGCTCCACTCATTGGTTCGAGAAGACCAAAGGTTTTCGTGAAACCAGGGCTCTGGGAGGTCCACTCTGGCCCGAATATGGCCCAGC